CTTGATTTCTCAGGTTCAATCAGGCTTGAACTCGAACTCGAACTCAGTACTATAGAGATCAAGTTGAGTTCGATTTACCAAATACTCGACTTGATTCGATTTCATCCCTAAATCTATTAGATGTAATCTATTTCTTTGATTTTGCATTTAGCTTGCATATGATGAAAAGTATATTGGCAATTACTAATGAGTTGTCACAAGGATTGCAAGGAAAAGATTAAGACATTGTAAATGCTATGGCCCTAGTCAAAGTCTCCAAAACAACGGTTACAATTGTTTAGAGATGAATGATGGAAATCTTTGTTGAGTGAAATTTCTTCATTTTGCCAAAAACATGATATTGCCATTTTGAATATGGATGATATGTTTGCAATTCGAAGGCGGTCACAACGAAGAGTTGAGCACATGAAAAATTTGCATCACTATCGAGTTGAATTGTTTTATACAGTGATAGATATGTAACTTCAAGAACTTAACACTCGTTTCACTAAGGTTAGTACTGAGTTGCTTCTTTGTATAACATGTTTAGATCCAAGTATTTCATTCTCTGCTTTTGACAAGCATAAGTTGATCCGTTTTGCCCAGTTTTATCCAAGTAATTTTTCTATACTTGAGTTGATGGTACTTGAAAACCATACTATGACTTATGTTATTGACAAGCGTTCTTGTGGTGAATTTTGCCAAGTTAGAAGGAATTGGTGATTTGGCTAAGATATTAGTTCAGTTTAAAAAAAAATATTTTGTATCCATTGGTGTATAAGCTTGTGAAACTTGCATTGGTTTTACTAGTTGCGACTGTGATCATTGAAAATACTTTTTCTGCAATGAATCTTGTGAAAAGTTGGTTACGCAGTCGAATGGAAAATCAATGGATGAATGATTGCTTGGTCATCTATATTGAAAAAGATGTATTTGATACAGTTGATGATGAGATAATTATCCAACGTTTTAAGAATATGAAAACTCATCGAGAACAATTGTAGAAAAATTGTTTTATTTTTATAAAAATTGTGTTTTTTGAATATATTTATTTGTATTTTGTAACTTTTTGTTGAAGCTCATCATAATGNTGAAAGGATTCAAGTTATGAAATGTACAAGGGAGGGGTGGCCTATTTATAGGCTAAACCTCCTCAAATAAATGTCTAGATACATTGAACACTTAGTCCTTAAGTTACTTAATTCCTAAGTAAACACTAGGTGGCACCCTTAGGTGGCAACCTTAGGTGGATGGATAAGCATTATCCATTAAGTGTCTTTGCCACTAAGTTTACTTAACTCCGAAGTAAACTTAGCCACTAAGCAACGTGCGGCCCACTTGAGTCACCAAGCAAACGGGTCGTGACATTATGCTGTTTAACGAGAGGTAAAACGCCCATACTCTCCCAGGGACGATAGTGATTTTTTCTAAATTTATTGGACCTAAGTGGTCCTTTGCAAAATATCAGGGGTAACAAGCACTCTTCTCGTGAGTCGTGACCCAACCATCAGGCATAGGTAGCGAATACCTGAGACGAATAAGTGTTTTTTCAACCCAGAAACACTGTCTCTTTCAAGCTCCGATACAACACGAGAAAAAGAATTAGAAAAACAAAAACAGAGAAAGAACCCAGAAAAAGGCTGCTCACTGGTCAGTCTTCACTTCATTTTTTCTCTTTTTTTACTTTTATTGCCACGATAATTTATTTTTTATTATTTATTTATTTAAATAAAGAAATGGGAAAAATTGCATAGGTTATGTTTGTTTTTGTTTGTTAGGTCAATTGGGCAATGGGGTTTCGTTCTTTTTCCAAGATTGGTAAAACCGTTGAGAAAGTTTCTGCATTTTGGAATAACGTAAATAGACAGCAAAAGGGTATTTGTAATTCTGCAAAAGTTGGAGTCTTTGATAGGAAATGCTTGGAAACAAGATTTTTTGAGCAAAAGGAGGGTTTTAGGGCAACTGGGTTTGTTGATTCTTTGGAAGCAGTGGTAATGGGGTTCAGTTGGATAGAGATTTTCTTGCACAGTTTTGGATTGCGGATAACAAATTGGAAAAGTCTAGAGTAAAAAAGAAGAAAAGTTGTTAAGAGTAAGAAATATGGTGAACCGGTTTCTGATGCTAGGCCGCAGGGAAAATGGTTTTCAGGTTCTGCTGTCTCAGAAGAAAATCCTTATGAGCAGGGTAAACCAGTTCTGCGTCAACCTCCAGTCAGTCAGTCTGTCACTGGTTTTCTCGATGGAGGAGGTAAATTTTTTTTTTCTTATGCTTTAAAGTTGTTGTTAGATGATTGTATTGCTTGATTAGTTATGGTTACTTTATACAGTGAGAATGCTCTTTTGTTCCTTGGATGCCTCATCATCATACTGCTTGAGGATGGCCAAGTAACTTTCCTCTTTTCTATTGACGCCTTTCTTAAACTGCATGGCTGAGAGTACCGTTGTCTCCGGTTTAGTAGAGCGGCTAGTAGGCAACACACAAGGTTGCTCCCCATCCATTATACACATGGTGTTGGTTGACGGCAAGGGAAATGCCTTGACTTGTTCCATGAACTCTAAGCCAAGCACAACTTGGTAGTCATCCATCGGTGCAACCGAGAAATCTAAGTAGCCGGACCAAGTTCCCATTGTCGTATTGACATGTCGAGCCACTCCCTGTATCGGTTGAGCCACTGAGTTGACTGCCTTGATTGTGCCCCCGCCTCCTGAAGCTTGAAGGCCTAGCCGGCACGCTTCACTTACTGAAACGAAGTTGTGCGAAGCTCCCGTATCTACCATGGCTTTGGTGGCCCCGTTGATGGCCATGTCAACATAGAGCAACCCTTTGGCTTGGGTCTTTGGTGCGGACTGAATCCCATTGAGTAGTTGCATTGACCCCATATGTGCCCCATCGCTACTACTCTCGGCCTGCTTGCCCTCTTGATGCTTGGCTATGAGGGAAGTAAGAGCTTTCTTCTCCAGACAATCTTTCACCCAATGTGGCCCGTTGCAAATGAAACAGCCGTTGCGGGGTTTGTTGGAGCCCTTCTCCCAACGTTTGCCCTTGTCCTTGCCTTTGGAGTTGTCTTGCCGGGTGTCTCGGTAACTCTCTTTAGATTGCCCCTTATCTCCCGCACCTTTGGCAAAGTTACCCTTCTTCTCTTTGGATTTGCCGCTGGATTCCTTTTGGGTGCTGTAATCAATCAAACTCTCAGCAACTGCTATGGCCGTGGCAAGATCTTGCACTCCCCGACGCCTTAGCTCCGTTTTAACCCATGACTGCAACCCATCCATAAAGTTGAAGAGTGAATCTTTGTCGGACATCTCCGGGATCTCCAGTATCAAGTCGGTGAAGTCCTTGATATAATCATGGATCGTCCCTGTTTGCTTGATCCGTCGCAAGCGAGCTCTTGCCTCATCCTCGGCATTCTCCGGGTAAAACTGCCGTTTAAGCTCTCTTTTAAAATTATCAAAAGTAGAGATAGTGCAAATACCTTTTTCGATGTCTCTTTCTCGTCTCCTCCACCACAACCTTGCGGTGTCTGTGAGATAGAGGACTGCAGTTTCAATCCTCGAGCTTTCCTCCGTGACTCCTACGGCCCCAAAGTACTTGTCTAGTCCCCACAAGAAGTTATCAACCTCTTGTGCCTTGCGTGAGCCACCAAAGCTTTTAGGCCTTGGTATGTCAATTCGTTGGCTTTCAACGACGCTACTGCCGGTTCTTGCCACCATGGCACGCTTGCATCGCGCTAAATCAGCTTGCACCTCGTCTAAGCGAACAAGGGTGCCGTTGACTTCGGTTTGGAACACATGACGGGTTTTGGCAAGCTCCCCTTCGAACTCCTCACGGATTTTCCCCATTTCCGCCCTTAACGACTCCTCCATTTGAAGCAACATGGCTTTCGCAACAGTATGAGTTTCGGACACCTCCGTCTCTAGCTCATCCACCCGATGATCTAGCTCATCCGACTGTGCGCTCACCCTTTCTTCTAAACGAGATAGGCGTGAGTCAAAATTGGAAATAAAGTCTTTGGACTTACCTCTCTGCCTTGAGGGGTTGGGGTTGGGGTCGACTCTCTCCGAGCGACCACGTTCTTCGGAAGCCTCCATCTCAGCCGTCTTGGATCCCTTTGTTGAAGCGACAGTGTCTTTCACCATTGAATAAAAACCGAGGTTATGCTAACCGAGGCTCTGATACCACTTGTCACGCACTTAACTTCTTTGCTAAGTTCGTGCGGCCTTAACTCTTCGACAATGAGTTAAGCAGCCTAACGCTCACACAACTAACAAGCTCAAAGTATAAAGTTTAGAGAGAGAAGTTGAGAGAAAATATAAACTCTATATTGAAAGGATTCAAGTTATGAAATGTACAAGGGAGGGGTGGCCTATTTATAGGCTAAACCTCCTCAAATAAATGTCTAGATACATTGAACACTTAGTCCTTAAGTTACTTAATTCCTAAGTAAACACTAGGTGGCACCCTTAGGTGGCAACCTTAGGTGGATGGATAAGCATTATCCTTTAAGTGTCTTTGCCACTAAGTTTACTTAACTCCGAAGTAAACTTAGCCACTAAGCAACGTGCGGCCCACTTGAGTCACCAAGCAAACGGGTCGTGACATTATGCTGTTTAACGAGAGGTAAAACGCCCATACTCTCCCAGGGACGATAGTGATTTTTTCTAAATTTATTGGACCTAAGTGGTCCTTTGCAAAATATCAGGGGTAACAAGCACTCTTCTCGTGAGTCGTGACCCAACCATCAGGCATAGGTAGCGAATACCTGAGACGAATAAGTGTTTTTTCAACCCAGAAACACTGTCTCTTTCAAGCTCCGATACAACACGAGAAAAAGAATTAGAAAAACAAAAACAGAGAAAGAACCCAGAAAAAGGCTGCTCACTGGTCAGTCTTCACTTCATTTTTTCTCTTTTTTTACTTTTATTGCCACGATAATTTATTTTTTATTATTTATTTATTTAAATAAAGAAATGGGAAAAATTGCATAGGTTATGTTTGTTTTTGTTTGTTAGGTCAATTGGGCAATGGGGTTTCGTTCTTTTTCCAAGATTGGTAAAACCGTTGAGAAAGTTTCTGCATTTTGGAATAACGTAAATAGACAGCAAAAGGGTATTTGTAATTCTGCAAAAGTTGGAGTCTTTGATAGGAAATGCTTGGAAACAAGATTTTTTGAGCAAAAGGAGGGTTTTAGGGCAACTGGGTTTGTTGATTCTTTGGAAGCAGTGGTAATGGGGTTCAGTTGGATAGAGATTTTCTTGCACAGTTTTGGATTGCGGATAACAAATTGGAAAAGTCTAGAGTAAAAAAGAAGAAAAGTTGTTAAGAGTAAGAAATATGGTGAACCGGTTTCTGATGCTAGGCCGCAGGGAAAATGGTTTTCAGGTTCTGCTGTCTCAGAAGAAAATCCTTATGAGCAGGGTAAACCAGTTCTGCGTCAACCTCCAGTCAGTCAGTCTGTCACTGGTTTTCTCGATGGAGGAGGTAAATTTTTTTTTTCTTATGCTTTAAAGTTGTTGTTAGATGATTGTATTGCTTGATTAGTTATGGTTACTTTATACAGTGAGAATGCTCTTTTGTTCCTTGGATGAACATGTCTTGCAATCAGCTTATTGAATTTATAACGTGAGAATGCTTTTTGAAGTTTTGAATATCAAATTAAAGTTATAAATGAAAAGGCTTTTCAGTGTGACAGTCTAATAAACTTCCTGGTGTTAATGTTACGCAGCCTGTAGGTTTTATTTGTGAGCAGAGTAACGTCATTGCTACACAAGTATATTCTTAATACTTAAATAAACTTCAATCATTTTGTTCTTTTTGAAGGGACAATATGCCATACTGAGCATATCAAAACATTTTTTACAATGTGTGACAAGTTGAAAACTAATCAACTTGTTGCAGCTTAGAATCTTGTAAGATCTTCAAAATTTAGGCCCCAACAAGATATTCCCACGTGGACAGTTATTTTAGTATGCTACCATAGCACCTCTGGTTAGTCATCATCATAAAAAAACCAGAACTTTGCTGCCTTACGAGTTACATAGTTCCTTTCCATTACAAACGACATCTGTCCACTACATGTTTTTGCAATCATTTTCCTAGAATTTCAATTGGTAATGTCCAAGCTTCAACATTCCTAGACTTTCAACTTGGAAAGGAGATAAAACTGTATTTTAGTCTACAACGTGACAATGTTTTTCATCATCTATACCTGCCCATGGTAAATCCTTCTGAAGTTTCTCTTACCTGGTGTACTGTGTTAACTTGGTGCATGGTTAATGTACTGTGTTAGCCTGATGTGTTTGCCTCATCTTACCTGGTGTTTATGAGTGCTACAGTATGTGTGAATAAGGGGCTAACTACATGGGTTCTAGCCAAGAAATTGAATAGCAAGTGATATATTAATATACATGGCATAATGGCAGGCCCAGAGTTTTTGTGTTTGGGTCGTAAATATATTAGTATCATAAGTTTAAGCATTTTTTATGAGCTTGAGCATGCTGGTAAACTTTATTGTTTCTTGACTACGCTATTCATGGAGTCATATATAGCAACTTCATTGTTAGCTTTAAGATGAATACTACTGGGTAAACTTGATAGTTTTGTTTGGAATGTATTAGTTTATGTAATAGAAATCTCATATGCTGATGCTTTCTGCTATTTTCTGCAGTTGCTTCACCTGAGGCACCCTTTTGCTGCTTACATAACTGATGCTATGTGTAATGAACTTTCCAGGGTGAGGACTTTGTGCAGATTTATTTTTGAACTAGTGCAACAAGTCACTAAGTGCTTAGTTTTTGAAAAATTGCTGTTTCAGCTTTAAGGTTTGTTTTACCACATTCAGGTTCGTAGGCCTTTCTGGTGGATAAACAGTTCAATTTATGCTGAAATTAACGTAAGGTGTGTGAATTAAACAGTTCGGTATTGCGATGGATTAAGAAATTTCAAATATCCATACTGCATTTCGGTTATTTATGATGCCTGTATTTGCTCCTCACTAGGAAATTGGTGTGGTTTACAGACAATGGCATATGTGAAGGAGGGTGTATGATTTATACCTCGGGTAATTTAAGCATGCCAATTTCTTAATCAATATTTATATTGACATTTTTTAGTCCTTGGTTACTTCTCCAACCAATGGAGAGTTCAGGCTTTGCCTATGTGACCTGTAAATGTTCCCACTTCTGCCCTTTGCTATTGGGTTTTCATGCTGAACTATTTGGCTGTCTTCACGTGTAAGATTTCAATTTATTTTTTAAATTTTATTTTTGCATCATCTAAATCGTTAAAGTTTTTTATCATGTTATTTGTAGGAACAAGCAGTTTGCAGTGGTTGAACATCTGGGCTTCTGGAATTGGGCATTTACTTTGAAGGATATAAATGGGGAAGTGTTGTCTGAGATAGATCGTGATCGGAGAGGTTTCAGTTTTGAGGTTAACTCCTTTCCTTCTAAGACATTATACCGATAATTACATGCTGGCCTTTGAACATTGTTTCTTCTCCCCTTATATTGTCATAACTATACATAATTTGTTTGGATAAAAAATATTACACTTTAAAGAGACTAGTTTTAGAATGTACATGCTTTTGTCATGTTCTACTTTGAATGATTTGCTCAGTGAATATGTTTCCAATATAGTATGTTGTTATATCTTTTTTTCCCTCAATGTAAATCAGATCTTTACGGATTCTGGTCAATATGTGATCCGTTTTGGGAATGCTGATTCCAAGTCCAAGAGTGGCCCTGCTAGAGTGGTAAGCACCACACCAGAAATTTGATTCTTCTGTCTTTTAAATCCATTAATACGATATTTTTGCCTTGGGAAGATTCAAGAGTTGGAAGTTGCTCGTCCTTTAACCCTTGGACAGAGCTGTAAATGTTGCTTTAGCTATATCTCTGGATAATGATTATTTTTCGAGGCATGGTGGCTGGTAAGCTTGTTGGTTGGATCTTATAATGACTTAGGTATTGATATAACGCATTCGCTTGACAGCACAAAAATTAAGCTTTTAAAAAGTTCAAAATTCTCTGTATGAGCTAGGCACTTAAGCTGGGTTTCCCAGCCTACTGTTGTTTGCTTGTTCGATTTTTCCTGATACGATACTGAACTGTAGATTTTCTAGAACACTTGAAGATAATCAGATGCATAAAAAGGAAAACAGATACTAGAATTCTGCAGAATCCTATCCTGGATAATCAGTGCATCAATATTATTCGTTACAAGGCATCTGCTAATTTGAATTCATGGTGATTCGTCTTTGGATTCGTGACTTTCCTCTTGGTTTTGAGAACTTTTCAAACACAATCCAAGTTAATTCTCTAAAAGGTTGGGCCTGATGCCTGAGACACTTTGGACGAAGACAATCTGTCTATAGGCCTGAAATTCCCAACTTCAGGATGTTTATTCGCATGAACTACAGTCCCTTATGCAAGCTGCTGAGCATGCAGTTGACAATTGAAGCTACTTATTAATAACATACATTACATAATGATATTGAGTCAAATAATAAAATAATTTTCATAAAACATTTTAATTTCTGACATTTCTGTATACATTTAGTATCTGTACTTGATAATCCTGGTGATCTTATATTGCTTGGCAAGAGTAACAAGATATGTAACAACCCCAGATGATGAAGATCCCATTAATTGATCTCTCAGCTTCCTTAATTATGGATACTAATAGCGGAGACAGACAATTTAATGAAATATTATCCCCATGGAAGTAGTAAGCAACAAACTTTAGTTCTTACCTTTTTTTCTCCTTCCTTAATACCTTTAATTTTAGATTCAATAGACAATTGCGGAACACCTTACAGGCTCAATTACACAAATGGTAATTGTCTAAATGTAGTAGGTGTTTCTCCTGCGTCGAATACAAGACTCCTAGGTATAGCTAACACTAGTGACTAAAAGACTTGTCATGTGGCCACAAGAGGAGAGGTTATATGATGTGTTTTTGTTATAACCTGATTTATATTTTATATATATATTTTTTTTTAAATTGTAAAACAAAATAATAGAAAGAAAACCAAGAATAAATTTCTTAACAATTCCAATGAAAATGACATGCCTTGAATTTTCAATGTGATAATTAGTCAATGTAGAATTATTACTTTTCGTATACTAATCAAAGATTCCAACTCTTAGAAGATTGATGATCAGTTTGTTGTCTTTTGTCCACTCATTTCTATCTTTGAAAAGTCTATGAAATGATTGCGACATAATTCACAAATCTATTTTCATTACGTACAAATCATGATGAATTGAAAAATATTTTGTGTTAGTGTCAAATGTTGTGCTAATTCTTCCACGTAGAAAAAAATGCATAGGGTAGGGAAATTGGTTTAAAGTTGAAAGGGACAAAACCATTTTTGCTACTCTAGATTAGTTGAAGAAGGGTCTATCAAATACTAAATGAAGATTTCAGCTCAACTTCCCTTAGCTAAATAAGTAGAATACTATGTGACTTTTAATTCTCTGTGTTGCTAATTATTTTACAGAGCACATGTATATAAGTTGTGTAGTTGATTATCAAATTATTATACTACCATCTAGTATATCCATTTTTTAATTAGCTCGATGAAGAAGGGTCTATCAAATACTAAATGAAAATAATTGAATAATGTTCCTAAACTAAGTATTCCTAAGAGAGAACATGGATTTATATGTGATATATGGGTGTTCAATTTCTTACTGCATGGCTTGAGTCAGTAGCCACCAAGCAGAGAGGAGATCAAACTCCTCTGGTTTCCTCTGTTTCCAACTGATATTCAAGAGTTTGGAAATTTTGAACTTAACTGCTAGATTAACAGAGGTTGCCAAATTCTGTTAAAAAGCTCTTGAAATATAAACGGAAGTATACAATATGTTAAAAGGTGTTAGCTCCCATTAGTTGAACGGTGCTGTTTTAGTATGCAATTGGAACTCATAACCACAGTGACTTCAGATCAAAGCTATTGGGGTTTATACTTGTGTTTCAACTGAAATTATGTGTTGCCTTGAATCAATTGTGTTTCTTTGCAAAATTTGTAAGAGACACGAATTGCCAAACGTGGACTCATTTTAGTATAAAAGCAGTTCAAGAATCCTTTCTCAGCTAAGCTGAAACTAATAAAATTCAATTCTAGAAAATTAGATCTTCTCTCAAGATTTTCTGTTTGTTTCTTGGGAAAGTGTTATGGCTTTCTGGTTTCTTTCTCAATTGATTCTAGGACTCTCACATTTCAACATAAATAACAATATCAAAACCCTCAACTCAAAACCAATCAAAGATGACAATTTTTTTCTAGATTAGAGAACTGTTTACAGTTTGTGAGATGGCCAAAGTAAGCTTCTATCAACTAAAATATATTTAAGATTATAGTAGAATAACAGTGTAATATGTAGAATAATAGTGTAACGGTGCAAAATGTAAGATATTAGTGTCATACTTAATAAAAGATTATGAAAACCGATAATATAACATGAAATATGAGACTGTTAACATAATATAAAATGTTTATTGTTAATCTAACATTTAACATAAAGAATCTATGTTTTAATATGTTAGTAATCTCATATTCTATGTTATTAATTACATACTAGTCAATATTTGCATACGCTCTTTTAAGAATTCAAAAAATAAAATAACGTAACTCGGGCTTAGAGCTATGGGCCAACTCAATTTGAACCAGGCCCTCTTAGCCCATAATACTTATATAAAATCGATCCAACAACAAAAGAGATGTGGACATGAAAATAATTAGGTCAATTGGGCATTTTGGAATAATGTAAATAGACAGCAAAAGGGTATTTGTAATTCTGCAAAAGTTTTGAGTCTTTGATAGGGAATGCTTGGAAACAAGATTTTTTTAGCGGGAGGGTTTTAGGGCAACTGGGTTTGTTGATTCTTTAGAAGCAGTGGTAATGGGGTTCAGTTGGATAGAGATTTTCTTGCACGGTTTTGGATTGCTGATAACAAATTGGAAAAGTCTAGAGTAAAAAAGAAGAAAGTTGTTAAGAGTAAGAAATATGGTGAACCGGTTTCTGATGCTAGGCCGTAGGGAAGATGGTTTTCAGGTTCTGTTGTCTCAGAAGAAAATCCTTATGAGCTCGGTAAACCAGTTCTGCGTCAATCTCCAGTCAGTCAGTCTGTCACTGGTTTTCTCGATGGAGGAGGTGAATCTTTTTTTCTTATGCTTTAAAGTTGTTGTTAGATGATTGTATTGCTTGATTAGTTATGGTTACTTTATACAGTGAGAATGCTCTTTTGTTCCTTGGATGAACATGTCTTGCAATCAGCTTATTGAATTTATGACGTGAGAATGCTTTTTGAAGTTTTGAATATCAAATCAAAGTTATAAATGACAAGGCTTTTCAGTGTAACAATCTAATAAACTTCCTGGTGTTAATGTTACGCAGCCTTGAGGTTTTATTTGTGAGTAGAGTAACGTCATTGCTACACAAGTATATTCTTAATACTTAAACGAACTTGAATCATTTTGTTCTTTTTGAAGGGACAATATGCCATACTGAGCATATCAAAACATTTTTTGCAATGTGTGACAAATTAAAAACTAATCAACTTGTTGCAGCTTAGAATCTTGTAAGATCTTCAAAATTTAGGCCCCGACAAGATGTTCCCATGTGGACAGTTATTTTAGTATGCTACCATAACACCTCTGGTTAGTCATCATCATAAAAAAAACCAGAACTTTGCTGCCTTACGAGTTACATAGTTCCTTTCCATTACAAACTACATTTGTCCACTGCATGTTTTTGCAATCATTTTCCTAGAATTTTAATTTGTAATGTCCAAGCTTCAATATTCCTAGACTTTCAACTTGGAAAGGAGATAAAACTGTATTTTAGTCTACAACATGACAGCTTTGTTCATCATCTATACCCGCCCATGGTAAATCTTTCTGAAGTTTCTCTTAACTTGGTGCATGGTTAATGTACTGTGTTAGCCTGATGTGTTTGCCTCATCTTACCTGGTGTTTATGAGTGCTAGAGTATGTGTGAATTTCAGGAATAAGGGGGTACCTACATGGGTTCCAACCAAGAAATTGAATAGCAAGTGATATATTAATATACATGGCATAATGGCAGGCCCAGAGTTTTTGTGTTTGGGTCATAAATATATTAGTATCATAAGTTTAAACATTTTTATGAGCTTGAGCATGCTGGTAAACTTTATTGTTTCTTGACTACACTATTCATGGAGTCATATATAGCAACTTCATTGTTAGCTTTAAGATGAATACTACTGGGCAAACTTGATAGTCTTGTTTGGAATGTATTAGTTTATGTAATAGAAATTTCATATGCTGATGCTTTCTGCTATTTTCTGCAGTTGCTTCGCCTGAGGCGCCCTTTTGTTGCTTACATAACTGATGCTATTGGTAATGAACTTTTCAGGGTGAGGACTTTGTGCAGATTTATTTTTGAATTAGTGCAACAAGTCACTAGGTGCTTAGTTTTTGACAAATTACTGTTTCAGTTTTAAGGCTTTGTTTTACCACATTCAGGTTCGTAGGCCTTTCGGGTGGATAACTAGTTCAATTTGTGCTGAAATTAACAGTAAGGTATGTGAGTTAAACAGTTCGGTAGTGTGATGGTTTAAGAAATTTCAAGTATCTATACTGCATTTCGGTTATTTATGATGCCTGTATTTGCTCCTCACTAGGAAATTGGTGTGGTTCACAGAGGATGGCATCTGTGGAGGAGGGTGTATGATTTATATCTCGAGTAATTTAAGCATGCCAATTTCTTAATCAATATTTATATTAACATTTTTTAGTCCTTTGTTACTTCTCCAACCAATGGGGAGTTCAGACTTTGCCTATGTGACCTGTAAATGTTCCCACTTCTGCCCTTTGCTATTGGGTTTTCATGCTGAACTATTTGGCTGTCTTCATGTGTAAGATTTGAATTTATTTTTTAAATTTTATTTTGCATCATCTAAACCGTCAAAGTTTTTTATCATGTTATTTGTAGGAACAAGCTGTTTGCAGTGGTTGAAAATCTGGGCTTTTGGATATGTAACAACCCCAGATGATGAAGATCCCATTAATTGATCTCTCAGCTTCCTTAATTATGGATATTAATGGCGGAGATTCAACAGGCAATTTAATGAAATATTATCCCCATGGAAGTAGTAATATGTGTTGATGTTCACACGAGTTTCCCCATCTAAGTAAAGTCTTATCTTATGGCCGTCTCTGAAATCAAGTTCAGTCCCAGTAACTAATAAAAAAGATAAACTTATAAAAGAATTAAGGAAAGATTAGATTAGATTATAACTGCATATACTACTACAATTCATGAATCACTTTTTGGTTCATATTAGGGGAAGAGAGGTTCATTGTTCAGACGAGCTTTTCTATGTACATACAACACCAATGGACAGAGAGTAGAACTACCAACTATTATTACGTTTGACATATATTACATAAAATAAAGCTCGAATACGTATTTTTAATGGCAACAAGTAAAATAAATTCAAAAAAATTTGAATTTTCATTAATGGAAACAACTGATATTATTCTCTTTCCTTGTCACTCTTTCGAGATTAGAAGGTCGACATCATTCATTCTCAACGATCATAATGCTTCAAGTAATAATACCATGACATAATTGCAAATTTGCAATAAAAAAAATTATCATTCCTACTTTTTATTTTCTTTTAAAAAATAAAATCAAAAGTTCAAAGAAAGACAAGAACAATTCACTTTAATCTTCTTCATTTTAATAAGATATAGCATGGCCTGGTTACAATAAAAGTAAGAATTTCTACTAACTTGCTTTTAGTATTTTTAAAAGATAAAATCAAAAGTCTAAAGAAGGAGCTTTAAGATCAATGAACAATTTTTCATAATCAAGTTTTCCCTTGGATTAATTATTTGTTGCAAGTGGGCCTATTTAGAAGATCCCGATTAATGTTTTGAGATGTAAAGTTCAGCACGGTCCTACAAGGCTAGATTGGGAATTATACGCATTGATTTCCCTTCATTTAAAAAAAAAAAACCATTGTTTTTACAAATTCATTATTTATGAGAATATATAATAATAAATTTATTATTATTGTTACAAACTTATTATTGTTAAGTTGCCACTAATTTTTTGTAAAAGTTTAAGTAGGGATGAGTGTAATATTAATTAAGTTAAAATTTTAGTCAAATAATTATTACAATTTTATGTTATGGAATTATCTGTTAAATAATTGAATAAATGGAGATGAAGTTTTAGCTTTCATTGTAGTTCACATGATAGTAATTTTTATGTTCAGTGAAATCCTATCAGACTATGTTTGTTTATAAATTGATCATATTCAGTCCCCTTGAAATTAAAAGAATAAAAAGTTTGGTTAGAAAGATTAAATTAGAAAGTTAATGAAAGATTAAGTTAAAAGTCTAAATTAAGAAGGGGAATAAAGACAATAAAAGAACAATGCATCCCTATCCAACTAGAAAGAGAGAATTTATAAAACATAAAATATGGATATTTTGGTAAGAATCGATTCGAACATGAAACTTTTGACTCTAATATCATGTTTATTTAACATTTGGTTTTATGTTATTACTTATTAGATAAGAATTCAATATTATATTTAAATCTAACAGTGATGTGAATGAAAGAGTTAAGATTCTAATTTACAACTCCTAATAAGCTTTAACACATGCTAATCCTCATTATTAGCTGCATTATCAAGAAAAATTCTTACAAATCTTAATAAGACTTTACATGCTTTAAAACTTGAGCATAAAGTAACACCACTTATACAAAAGACAAGTTGATCTTCCTCCATTAGATAAAAGAAGAGTTTTTTTTATAAGCCACACAAATTAATCCCTGCAGAAAGGGATATTTGTAGTTATGATCTAATTCTTTTTTTATTATTCCATTCATCAGGTTTATTTGTTCTGTGTTACAACTAATGCTCCAGAATCCCAGGTGTTATATCTCATTATGGCTATCACCAAAAGATGTTTGAATTTGTAAAAAAAGAATTAAAGAGACCGAAAATTAAAGAGGTTAATCATGTCGGCCATGAAATTACTAGTCACTTTGAAAATTGGGTCATCATCCAAGGTTTTTTTTTTCATGTTTCTGTATTTCTATATAATGACCCTATGAGATCAAGCATGTCGGTTGGAAAATACGTACATATTTATAAGAATAATTATTTAAGAAAATTTATTATGGACTTTACACCCCAAATCCAATATGGTTAATGAGCCCAGCCCATTAATTTTTCATAGCTTTTAATTTAGGTCTGGCCTAGTGTCTAATTGAGCCTAGCTATTGGGGATTGGAACAAGCCATTTAGGTTGAAGCCTCTATGTATGACGATCATTAAGGCCACATGCACACTACACTTACAAATTAACGATGAATTGGTATAACAAATGATTCAATATCAACAAGTAACTTATCATTTTTTATGGGATACAAGCTTTATGTCTCAATTTTGTAAGTATAACATTATTTGTAGAGTAAAAATATTAATAAACACTAATAAAATCATAATTTGACTTCAAGAAAGAACAGTGGAGAAAGTAGGACTGGAATTATGCCAGTAATTTCTCTAAGACAAACAAGTAAAGTTGTTACAGCTTGTTAAAGAATCAAAGTTTGAATTTATGGCCATTTCTTTCAAGTTTGAATACATTGTCGCTTCCGATGTACAACCATTTCACATTGTTGGATGTTAGTTCAATTGCTAAAGACCTGAAAGAAGAAGAAGAGGAGGAAGTTTCAAAAAACAGGTAACATCTGTTATTCTTATGATGTTAACCAAGTAACTAACAGCTGGGAATTTCGGATTTCTGTTTGAACTAAAGCTTTAGAGAGAACCTTAGAAGAGTTAACGTCATTAGTCATCATGTTAGTTACTGTTACAAGTGTTGGAGATTATTCAAACAGTTGCAAAATGAAAACCCAGGTGTTCGAGATGATCAAACAATACACAATGCGATGAGTAGATCATAACAGATTGATAAACTATCATTGTATAGCAGCTCTATATAAACAGAATGTACACCATTTTGCCAATAATACAGTTAGTTCATTGCTTCTCAAGTTTACAGATTGTTCTTTTTCTCTCTGATTTTCTAAGCTTTTCATTGGATGAATTTTTTCACCTTTGTGATATACACTAATGCACCAGGAAAAGAGTATGAAAGTGCTGCTATAAACTTTTCTGGGAAGTTTTCTTCTAAAAACAGAGGAACAAAAAACGAACCCTGCAGATTCTTTTCAGCTTTGTTTGCTGAATAACTTTTACTTCAAACTCATTTCCTACTTTTCTCTTATCTTTTACAAGTTAAAACACGAACTGCAGTAAATAATGATATTCAGTCAAATGATAGAATAAATTTTGAAAGGGTTGGCCACTATTGAAGAATTAAAAATAATTCAAAGAATGATCCAGTAGCGAAAGACGAACTAATTTCAAAATTACTTGAAATTAGTCACTATCAATCGAATCTATCGCTTTGTTGCATAACTGAAGCCCCATTCAATGCTTTAATCCCACCTAATTCACTTGTTACTGCTCTCATTATAGCCCTCTTCCTCACATTTAAGTTCAAACATCTTCTTGTCAGATTAGCAACTGCAATAATCTCTTCTTCCTCACCTTCTTTTAGAACTCGTGTATGGAGAATTTCAAATAAACGATTCCCTTTCATTGCACACAGAAAATATGCTGCTGAACTTCTTTCTTCATCTTCAGAGTCGATTCAACGCATAGGTTTTTGTCCAATTAAGAGCTCAGCAAGAAAACTCCAAGCTATAAACAACACTTTTATCAGTGAATTGACTTGATCGAAAGAGATCTGGATCTGAGATACCCAAAGGTTCCAAGTACTTGCGTAGTCAAGTGAGTTTGCTCAATTGTAATAGACGTTGAAGTCCCAAAAGCTCATTTCCCAAGTCATAGTGGAGGAGAAGCAGAGATAAAAATAAATAGAATATGGGAATAGAGAAAATATCAAAATCAACATCGTTGAATATCCATGGAAATTGATACCTGTGTGTGTTCCTTGCCTCAAAATGTTACAAAAATCCAACTGAGGAAATTTTTCGAACACTTGGTGCACAGACCATAACCAAGGATCCCAACATTACAAACAATTGACAATATAGAAGAAGAACAATGAAGAAGAAAGTTTCACACAACCAAGTATACAAGTTTCACCCAATCTCAACCCAATTTCAATCCTAATTTTGCGATCCTTGAGAACAAATTCAACTTGGCAGTCTCATCTGTGAAATTAAAAAATCAAGAGATTAAGCAGAGTCATATGGCCGTTAGCCACCAAGGAAGGAAACACCTAATTCTGCGTAGCACCTGATACCGACAACGCTATATTTTCTTCATATAAATTTTTACGGTTAGATAATATCCCTAAAGTCCCTCATATCAGTCATATGATTATATCATTTCAATTGTCCTGACAGAATATTAATTGTCCCTTAAATTTTTAATTACTATCATATTTAACCTTATATTTTTTTAAAATATATACCCCGGAATATTTAAATAGATTCCTACCCATGTGTTTATTTATTTTTAGTTTGATGCAAGAATGACAATTAAGTAAATAATATATTTTCCAGTTAATTTATTTCTCAACCGACGTCTTCTACTAAGTCTAGCTTCTGTTCTCCTCAACAGGTGACATGGGAAGTTTTGGTTTAATTGCTAATGAAGAAGGTACTTTGCTTGGCTGGGCTGAAAGCTTTTCTTAGCTCTTCTTGATGAGCTGAGCTTCCTGGAAATGCTCCACCGGGCATATGGGATTCAGGAATTACAAAAGCTTTTCATATTTGAACTTTAACAAACTCCGTTAACCTACTAACTGCTAAGTTAAACGCTAAGTTGTTGAGCTGAGTTAGAGTAAAAGTAATGCTACATGTACAAACAAATCTTACAAAATTTTTATACAAACTGAATAGAAAAAGAAATACCATAAGTTTGACTTTTTATATTAATTTTTCCATTCATTTTGTTGCCACATTAGTTTGTATACAAATCTTTGTAAGATTTGTTTGTACAACTAGTATTATTGTTAGAGTAATCATGACAACCTTATCAACTATTGTATTGGCTATTACATTAGGAATGAAGTGAAGCTTATTATAATTTATTTGATAGTTTGTTTGTGCTGCTGTTTCTCT